GATGAACGGGGACAATACCAACTTGACAATACTGGAGCCAGGGGCAAGCACAATCGGCACAGTCTGCAGCGAAGTGAAGTGTGTAGTAGTGATTGTGTCTGGTAGGCCTCTGGTGGTGGAGCCTTATGTTGATCGAATTGATGCACTTGTCGTTGCTTGGTTGCCGGGATCCGAAGGCCAAGGAGTGGGTGATGTTCTATTTGGAGATTACGCGTTCGCCGGAAAATTGCCTCGGACTTGGTTCAAGACTGTTGATCAACTGCCAATGAATGTTGGTGATGCTCATTATGATCCTCTTTTCCCCTTTGGATTTGGACTCACTACTCAGCCTATTGCTAATACCACCATGGCTTAATTATTTTCTTTTTTTTAGCTTTTAGAATTTGTAGGTTGTTAATATTTTTCATGGGTATATAAGTATATGTTTTGGAGTAAACAGATGCATAAGAAATATATATATATATATATTTTATTATTATGATATTCTCTTTTACTTTTTTTTATTTGGAATTATGTATAAGAATGTTTATATTGTTGGAATATTTGGTTCAAGTAATTTAATATTTAACATATATTTAGTAATGATTATATTTTAATAAAAAAATTAATAATATTTTATAAAAACTTACTATTGTTACTATTAATTTATTAATTAATTATCTAATTAAATTTATTTTTTAAATACATAAATATAATTTAATAATTTTAGTTTTTTTATTAAAAATATGTTAATTATAATTAAAATATTAAAAATTAAATTGTAATTAATATTATTAATTTATTATTAAATTTAAATTAACACTAAAGTTGGCATGGAGAAGATGTTACGTTATCCAGAATGTATTGTCTTCAAGGCATTTAATGGCTGCCTCAAGAAACCAGCACAAACCATTGAAGAGATCAGAACCTGATGGAAGTAACAGTACAGTCTCTCTACCATGCTAATCTTCCTCTAACCTCTTCAATCTCTCGACTTCCGACCTCTCTTTTTCAATCCAAGCCTCTTCTTCTTCATTCTCCTCATTCATGGAAGCCACACCAAGCTGTTGGTGTTCGGATCAGCGCCGTGCAATTCAGGAATATTTCAGCTCTAAATGCCTCCTCCAATGGCGATTCTCCATCATCAACCGATGTTGCAGAAACTGAAACGTGGCT